TATTTGTTCTGTTTTAGGAATTTATTTCCTATTTTAAAACTCAACTTTAGTCAAGAAAACTCATCAAGTGAACTCATCCTGCTGCATGCACGATAATCTAACCTGTTTTCTGTTCCGTCAGATTTAGTGATTTTTATCTTGTTTTCATGGGTCATGTAACCAGTATAGGAGGAAGCAGCTGGTGATAAAAAGTTGTATATAGATATAGAGAGTTGCACTGATGAACATCACAGCTATTGGTGGCACAAGAACAGGCACTCTGTTCAAGAGAAATGAACAACAGTGTCTAGAGAAATCCACACCGGAGCCGAGATGCAGAGACAGTCCACTAACATGCTGACTGTATGACTGACAATGTGTACTGAACAAAACATGGCAAGTTAGGATGGTTTTTAAAACCTTAACACTGAAAAGGAGATTGTTGTTCAGCTGTACATCTCCACAATCAAAACCAAAATAACTATTAAGTGTTTTCAGGGTAAGGGGTCTGCTTTCTTTTGCATGTTAAAGTCATGGACTGGTGAACACATTATGAGTGTGTTGTGCTGGGTGTATCAACTAACACATCAGGGCCATGATGATCTGTAGCAGTGCATTATGGAAGATGTAGTTTGAAAGGAGTGAAGGTGGAAAATTTATAATAGTTGTATTAAAATAGGTGTAAATCTAATCTCCACTTAAAGTAGTACCATTTTTATCAATGATTAAAGAGCTAGGTTAAGGAAGAGCAGCATTCTGCTGTTTAGGTAAGTAATTTAAAGCCAAAAAAGTTCTAAAAATATACGATTTTTTTTTTTATTGTGTTAAATATCTTGGATGTCCGTAATCTAACAATCATTTTTTGTTTTTAATGCTAGAATTTTTTCTTAATAACCCCAGTTTCCAGTCAACTTTCATAAACTAAACCATTACCTTAGCGGAAGATTTGCAAGACACAGTAGTTTAACTTACTACTGTATGGAAATATTTTAGAAAGTGACTGGAAGTTTGCAAAAACAATGCAAAGCTGCTAGCGGTGCAGCTGTCAACAGGGTATGAGAAAAGCAAGGGGAGAGAAAAACCAAAAAACACTTTCACTGCATATTTATTTCAACACAATACAATATATACAGCATCAAAATTTAAAACTTTGAAAAGGAAAAAAAAAAAGAAAACAAGGACAAAGAAATCATCACTACTGATTAGCAGTATGGCTATCAATCTTTTCCCCAACATTAACATTCATATGGAACTTAACTCAAATCTTCAGTACAGGATTTTTAATAAAATGCTTCAAATCAAACACATATAACTGCAAATAATTATCTTTAAATCCTTAATATTAAAGATTTGTTTTTTTTATTTCATATATTAAACATATTTAAAAGGCAGTAGTAGAAACAACAAAATATCTCTGCAATGATGCTTTTATCGACGTGAAATGTCTGTAGAACTGAAGCAGTCACTGTTTTTCTATTTTCCTTTCAAAGCGATGCAGATCTCACCATGATAGGCTGTGAAAATAAACCACATTATCTCACACTCTGAAGCTGAAATATTAGCAGTACTGTAGGCTGGATTCTCGAAGGACACAGAACACATTTTTCAAATGTACACACAACTTTCCTCTGCACGCTCGCACAGATACACTCTTTGAGTTTAGCTGAAGGACACTGACAGCCATGCTGAGCGTCGTCAGGCGACAGGCGGCCGCGTCATCTGCAGTCGGCTCATTGCTGCCGTAAGTTCCTGGCATCATAGATAACAGGTTTAAATGCTTCAGTTTTCTCAGGAAACACCTCTGCAGTAGCTTTAAGGTGAACACTGTGCATGGCAAGAAACGACGCAGCTTTTGCATATAACATCCTAGGTTCTTGGATATGGTGAGTAAGAAAAAAAAACATTCTGGTCAGACTTTCCCAGTTACTCTAAACCCACACAAAGAAGAGGCACAATTCGAACACTGGTAACTATAAAGCTAGAAGTTTCCTTTCTTTTTCTTTATGCAGACGGAGGCAGAATGTGCTGCTAAACATAATTAACAAAAAGATTTAGGATGGGCAATGAGTGAAAACAGAAAAAAAACGTTTCCAGAGAGGAATTTGGCAGCAGAACGGCTTTTTGTCTGAGCTTTACCCTGGAAACTGACACAGGCTTCAAACTATGTTGATTTAAACAAAACAATCCAAACATCCAGCAGCTTGTGTAAATAAAATATTTAAGCGGTGGAATAAATCAGAGAGCTGTTAGTGTTTGGTATAGATCTGCATAGCAAGGTGAGGCTTCCTCCCTGATTAGAAATCATCATATAAGCCGGGGAACGCAGAGCCATCTCTGATCTGCCTGCTGCAGAAAATGGCAAGAATAGGACTAATCATTCCCCCTTTAATGTAGTAAATAGATTTATATCTTTTGGCAGGCTTTGACTTGGAATTGGTAGCAGTGTAATTTGAATGCATCCCCGTCTTTATAGGTCAATATTTCCATCAACTCACACAGTCCCGTCTGTAAATGAAACCAGTGATTTGGTTGCTCAGCAGACCATCAGCAGCCTTCCATGGCTTTCTAATCCTTGATCTCCATTGGGGGGGAAACCCAGCATTCCCTTCTATTGCATATTGTTTTCTTTCAGTCTTCCTTAGCTGTTATATCAATTTTTTTGGGAATATAACTAAGGAACAACGGCAAAGATACAATTTGGCTGCTCACTTCAAGGACATTTTAGGGCATTTTCACAAATTTATTAATTCACACGAAAAGTCTCATCTTCTCTTTGCTTTTTTCTTTGTTTTCTCACCATGTAGCCCAATCCAATGGACTTTTCAAAGCCTGCTTCTTGGAAGCTTTTTCTAAAACCCAACTTAATCCAAAGCTCAAATAAGTTTATTAATGCAATATGGTATTTAATACATAATCTAAAGTGATAAAAATCGTCTCTCACCCAAGAATTTGCAGGAGTTTCAAAGCATATATTGTACTTCAGCAGAGACGGTCGTGTCACTTTAAAAGAGAGAAATCAGGAAATGACAAATGTGTCACTGGAATTTCTCAGGCAACAGACCAGGAAACTAAATATATAATGAATTCAGCTTCTGGCTGCAATGACTTTTTTTTGTTCTTTTTTTCCACAACAATATTTATAGCATTTAGATCATTTGCCAAAGAAAGCCTCTGCTGACAGCTTGCTTTGGGACCCATTCATCTATAAGCGATAATATGCTAATAGCTCTTTGCCAATTCTTCCTGGAATAAGGCTGTTCTTCCCAACAGGTAATGTAAAAATGTAGTTTATTTAGGAAGCTATTAAAATCACACTGACTACACTTTTTTGTGCAATTTTTAATCCAGTTAAATTTGTCTGTATAGGTTTTTTTTATTCATCAGCTTAAGAAATGTTTTTTTTTTAAGGGAGAAAGGCAGATGGAGCAGCTTACACAACAAAGCATAAAGAATTGTAACAGCAACACAGTGATAACAGCCTGTATGAGTAACCAGTTGTATAGTCAGAAATACAAGTTTTAAGGGCTATTGATCCTTCTGGTATTTTACAAAGAAACTTGTTATTAGCAGATCTTAGAGGAAATTTCTTTACATAGTGACATGTAGGAGAGAGTAATGGCATGAGGTCCTAATTTTGTAATGTTCTTTAGTTGAACGTCTGAATAAGCTTGGAGGGAACCACATGGGTTGTTTTCTTTAAACAGTCCTGATTGAAAACACATCTCAGCAGTTGATGAATGAGATGCATTCTTGTGTAACTGAATATCTCAATGTATTTCAATAAATAAAAAAAAAAAATCAGCAAGAATTTCCTGCCTGTGAGGCGAAGGAACCAAATCATTCTGCTTTGGTCTTCACATCTGAGACAAGAAACACTTACAATATCCATGAAGGAACGGGTCCGTTTTTATCTTCACATAAAGGTAAAAAAAAGTCTTATAGATCCTTTTATCTTCGTGTTTTTAGATAGAGAGAGATCTGAAGATCTTTTTACATTTCTAAAGGGATTCAGATCATCGTTTGCTGGTTTCCAAGGTTTTATACTGAGCCTGAAGCAATAACTAAAGTGATTTGAATGCAGAGCATCTATTTAATCTGAAAAGTTAGCTGTTTTTTTCGAAAGCTGCGAGTGACAAAGAATTGACCTTATCTGAGTTATCAAGGCCTGTTTTTTCATTTGCCTAGCTTTTCATTGAACTCTAGTGCTCCACACTCATTGTCAACATTAGTAAAAATGGGTAAAAATCCGCAGTACTAACAAAAAAAACAACATAAAAATTCCAAAAGAAATTCAGTCCTTCATTTCATTCATTCAGGGAAGAAAAATGAGAGAAATCCATAGTGTCATATGTGCTCATACTTATAATAGTGGCTGTAAAATAAACATAGCTACTGTATGGGGATTGAGTCTGGAATAAACTCTTTTACACTAATCAAACTGTCAAGAAACTTTTGAAAATTCATGTTTTCTCAGGATATAAACACACTGAGCAGCAGAAGATTATTTTTTGCCACTGGCCTTTGTTGGGATAATTATTTGGCTACCAGACACAATGAGGAAGATGAGAATGGACATAAAAAAATAAAGCATTTCCAAAGCTTTGTGTTTGAGAACTACTGGAGATGAGATCACTTGGTCCCCATAAAAACACAATCTGATAAGCAGCTATTTGAAAGAGAAGAACATAACCTTTCTGCCCTACCATTACAATCATAGATCTCTGTTTACTTACTGCGCTGGAAACATGTTTGCTCTAAAACTGAGCTTTTTCTTCTGAAACATTCTATGTTGCATAAAAAGTGGATTAGCACTGTGAGACTGTTACTAAGTACAGTGGAGGATGTATGATGCTCCGAGATTCTGAGAAACCCTCTAAGCTTATGAACTTTAAACATCCAAAGATGCCTCCCTCTGTCGTCCATCCATATAAAACCTAAGAGGGGACCAGGCTCGGTTGTCTATAACTGTGAACGTATTGGTTTTCTAAAAAAAATACAAAATATTTCACTCTTAAGGGGGGTTTTCTTTCCGTTATTTAACATAAGTTGTTTTTTAATACGGAAATGTTTGGCTAAAATAAAAGAAACATTGATTTCAAGGCTTTTTAAACATATTTACCAACAGTACCAATAAGGTTGGATAATACTTTATGAACCTATTCTGTGTGATATCATTGCACTCTGTGGGGCTCTCTGTTACATCTTTTATTTGAAAGCAGTTTTCAAAGTCCCTCCAGATTTCTTAGCTGCACTGTAATGTGGGCTGCCTGGTCGGCCAGAAGTGAATTAACTTAACAGATGGGAAGGGAGTCCCGACATTGAATTCAACGGAAAAGTGGCTTTATTAAGCTTAGGGCCACCTGGGGCCACTGACTGTGGGGACCTTTTTTTAAAATCAAGAAAGACGGTTTTGCTGAGTCAGCAGAAGGTGAAGTTGAGGATGGCTGGCTATTTGATAAACTCTAGACGCTGAAGAAGCTGATCCACTCAAGCCACACATCAAAAGTCCAAATTTTAATTCAACATATAGGAAAGAGGAAAAAAAAAAAAAGCCCCAGGGGTCTTGGAAATACACACCAGAAATATGAAGGCTTTGCAGTGGCTTTGGAGGATGAAGTCACACGTCACACATTGAATTTGCTTTAAATTAACCAGATGCTGATTACTTGAACTCAGCAGGGATGTGGTTCACCTCTGGCTGGATTTCCAGATGAGCCACAGATCAGCCTGTTCCTCCTCTGCAGCCTCTGCTTTGATATTTTTCTTTGTCTGCAAGGGCTGAAAATGTTCCTGCATGCTTGTGGCTGATTCTTAAAATTACAGCTATCAGCGTGATTCATCCATCTATTATCTCCTCATCATGTGGACATGTGTCCTTTCAGATACTAATCCCAGTTAGTGTCTCTGACCTTCTGGAATGGAGAGAAAAAACGTCTTACTTTTTCTTCTTTAAACCGATTAAATATACAATGAAGAAAATAAGTTTCCTCAGAAATCTATAAAATAAATGAGAGAATACTTTTTTATTGTACTGGCCTTGTTGATTATCTGATTACATCTGGTTCTGGAAAGACGTGTTTGATACCTACTTCATCCAACTGAAGGGAACTCTTCACACAGACATCTAAAAATCACCGACTATGAGTGATTGAGTTGAGATTTAGAGCTTTTGCGGATAATTCTCAATTATTGATGGTTTACTACGTTACTGATCACCTTTCCCAAAATACATTAGTGCCTCTTATAACACAAATACTCATGTCTTGATCCGTTCTCGACTTTGTTGTGTCTGTATGGACCATTTGGTTTAGCAGAGGTGTTCCTTTAGTAACAGTCTCCTCCTCTCAGTGGGTAACTCAGCACACCTGGTCACTGGTGTTCATGCAGTAAAGGTTTGTCATGACTTGCTCGGCTGTAGACCCTCCCTACCCAAGTCTCGTCAGTTCACAGTCTTCTTTACTGCAGCCAAGGGTGCCGGCTTCCCTGGGGGACTGAACTTTTCCGATTTCCTCAAGTGCACTGGCCAGAGAGTCAAGGTCTCCAGAGTCCTGGTGCTGGGCTTCCCACAGGCTCAGAATCACTGAGGATGGGCTCTCCTGGCATGCAAAGTAGCCCAGGTTCCTACAGGTTGGAAGAGAAATTGTTACATTTAAATACCGGATAACAGAAAATGTAAATTAGAAAAGTCATTTTAAATTGGAAACACCTAAAGAGATAATAAGGAGTTTAATAGACAATGAAAAATGGCAACAATTAAATAAATACAAAGAGAAAAGGGTATGTTAGGTCCCAAAATGAAAGCAGAAATTTCATACAGTATTTCTATACAACTGAACTGGTTAACTTTTTATTATAAAACAACAGGCAAAAAAAATTACTTTTTTTTTTTTTGTAAAATAAAAATTTGCTCTAAATTAGCCAAAACTACATTTAAAAAGGAATTTAAAGTGCCACATATTAATAACAAAAGCATCCAAGAAGCCAACAGTAACTGTTGAGGATCCACAGATTGTTTTATTGGAAGTTGAGTTCGCAACAAGCAATGCAGGGAACACTGCAAACATCTGGAAGAAGGGGATTTTGGAATAAGATGCAAAAAAACTAAATGTTTAGTGGAAACAAGAACTGTATATAATTAATGGTAACACCTCTACCACTATGAAGCATGGTGATGGAAGTGTCATGCAATGGAAAAGTAAGCTAAGCTAGATTTAGGACATTTATAGAAGAAAATCTATCAGAGGCTGCGAAAGACTTCATATTGGGACTGAGGTTCTACCTTCAATCAGGACAAAGAACCTAAACGTACAATCAGAGCTACAAGGACCGGCTGTTGTCAAAGCATGTAGCGGTAAGATTTAAAAAAACCTCTGCCTTTAAGCATTCCTAATCGAATATGACAAAAGTTGAGCTACTTTGAGGAGAATGACTGATGTGTTTAGTGATTTGATTTGAAAAGCTGGCAGACAAAGGTTCCCTAACGGTTTGCAGCTGTTATTTCAGCAAAAGTCAGTTTTTAAAAGTAGGGAGGAATGCAGGACCTTTCAGGTTTTCATTTGAAACAAAATCTGAAATTGTGTTTTTTTTCAATTCCATTCCACCAGTGTTAGAACCATATGTTGGTCTATCTATCCGATTAAATCCGAACGAGATCAATAATGTATTTTAAAGCTTGTGGTTGTAATGTGGCAAAATGTGGGAGTCAGGGGTCATAAATATTTATGCCAAGTGCTGATAATGTAAATCCTTTAAAAATTTGAACAAACAAATACAGTACAAGGCAGATTGATTTTAATCATATCAGCAAATTGATGTATCAGCACTGACCCCCAGGTTCCTCCATGTGATGTATTTATAGCTTGGAGTTCAGTTTAATGCTCACTCTAACATCACACACTGACAACTGATTCCTAGAAGTTCAGCTTTCTAGAACTGAGAAATCTTCACTGAGGCACATCTGGCTGTCAGTGGGTTTTGCATCTGATTGGTGTTGCTTCTAAGATAACATCTTAGATCACTTGAAGAGTTCTGTGCTTGATCTCCATATGTGTTATTGAAGGCTACATTCTGTGCAAAGTGCTGCCTCTTCAATTAATTATGTGGTTGTCCTATTTTGACAAGATGCATGCCCTCAAGTCATTTCAGCATGACTGTTTATTGAAATTCATCTCATCTTCATTTTACTTTGTATGCATGCATATTATTCAAAACTGTATTGCTGAACAGCCCTCACTGGTTGCCAGGGGTGTTGTAAACTTTAATGCATTAAAGAAAATAAGAGTGCTGTTGTTTATTATTTTACTCTGCATATCAAAAGATTTGCTTCCCCACAATAGTTGTATCCAATATGGTGCAGATGTATTGCATGTCGGCTGGAAAATCCAAAGTCTGTATCCGTTTGTTTCCATAAAATCAATTTAAGTTGATACAGTGCTTTAAAAAAGTATTCATACCCCAGGGGTTATCTTTCTTTTTTACATTTTGTTGCGTGGTAACCACAAATATTTGTGTGTATTGAATTGGATTTTATATGATAACATAAAACAAAGTACTATGAAGGAAAATGGCTTAGGGGTTTTATAGACATTTGATCTATGTTGTTGGCTTTATAGACAAACCTTTTTGTAGCAATTCCAGCTAAAAGTCTTAAACACTTTTTAGGAGTTTTCTTTAGTTGATAAAGTTCTTCTTTCTGCAATCCTAAGATAAAACTTAAACCTGTTTAAAATGTAACCAGAACTTAAAGTGTGACCTTTTTTTCGAAAGTCTTTGACTGGTTTGGTTCATTCCAAAACGGAGAAGTTAGAACCTAAAGGCGAATTCAGCAGAATTAGGTGAACCAGAGGCATATTCCTAATGCTGAGCAATCTTTAAAGATTCATATTTGTAAAGACAAAAATAAATCCCACTGCTAATTTCTTTCCACTTCATGATAATGTGCTGCTTTATCATTGGTCTCTTTGAGATGGATAAAAAAAATAGAGGTGTGTTGTAGTGCCACTAAAGATGGGAAGGATCATTTGTGTTTGCAGCAATTCTGAAGCTCCATCAGGTGGAACAGGAGCCATTTTCAGATCACTCTACAGATGTTTAATCAGCTTTAAGTCTATAGTCTGGCTTAAAAACTCCAGGACCTTCCTAGAGTGGTTCTGATCCACTCCTTTTAGATGTCAGCTGTAGCCTTTGGGGTTTCCTTCCAGACTGAGGTCTTTTGTGCTCTGGAACAGGTTTCCAACCAAAATATCTCTGTGCATTTCTGCATTCACATTTTCCTGCATTCTGAATAGTCTGCCAGCCCTTGCTGCTGAAAAACATCCCCATAGCCTGATGCTGGCCCCACCATGCTTCACCTGGTGATAAGCAGCACCGGGTTTCCTTAAACATGATGTCTAACATTCCCATTAAAGGGTTGCATCGCTGTCTTATGAGATAGTCAATTAACTTTGTTTGTCATGGTCTGAGGGTCTATTGGGAGCCTTTTAGTAAATTAAAGACAGGTGTGCTCAGTATGAAGGATTAGCTGTTGCTTGTCCAACCTACCATACTGGCCTGGTGTATCTACCTCTATCCTCAGAGGAATCAGGTACTTTGTCACCTCTCTTGCTGACATTGCTTACTTTAGTCGACCAGCCAACTATAAGAATGGTTGTAGTGGCTCACCTTCTCCCATTTATGAATAATTGAAGAATCATTGGGACCTTTGAAGAAGAAGCAAAGTCTCTGTATCCTTCCCAGATTTGTACTTCAAGACAATCCTGTCTCTCAGATTTCCAGTCATGTCCTTTGATTGTTTGGTTTTCTATTGGGGATAATTTTCAACAACTTCATACAAATGTTTTTTTTTCCACATTATCATAGGGTTTGTATTTTTATTGTTAGGTAAAGAAAATTACTATGTTTGAATAGGTTGTAACATAACATACCCTAAGTGCTGTGTAAACTTTCTGGATGCACTGCATATACATTTTTTTTCATGCTGAGATAAAACCTTAGGAAATACTATATGTTCACATCACATCTTTGACACAAATAAAATTATGTTATATGACATTATATATCTTTGCTAAAATAAATCCATTTACATGGTAAAAGTGTTTTTATCAGTTTAATTTTCTGATACATGTGATTGAAACATGCCTGCACATGCTATCCTTTTACTTTACAAAAATATAATTTAGCAAAGATTATTCAAACAGACTAACCACTTAGGTAAGAATAGGATCAATTGAATTTAAAGATTTTTTTGCATAAAAAAATGAAGACTTTAAGTCGTTTCTTTATTCTCTTCCCAAATCCTTCCAACAGAGGGCACTGTTTCATCGCAATAGCATTTCATCTTGCTGCTTTGTCTCCTTTGATCCTTCCTTTTCCACTTGCTCACCCTCCTTATATCATTATGTTCCCACACACTCAGAGAAATAATTGCAGAAATCAGCTTAAGTAGGTAGAGACATTCTTATTACATGCTTTTTGGCATATTTGACTCTGCAGTAAAAACTCGGAAATCCATTCCTATTTCTCAGCTACAGATGTTTCTATTCAGACTCGTTTAGACAAAGATCCCTAATTGCATAGTAGGTGCATAGTTTCTCTGTTAACTTTTTTCTCTCATATACTTCAACAAGAAAAAAAAAAAACAAAAACAAAGCCTGTAGTCGTTGTTGGCGAGCCGACTGCAAAGATCTAAGAGTTGTTCTGGCAATAAGCACTTGATTATTGACTTCTCCTCTGAAGCACAAACAGAGATCACTGCATCCCCAAATAAATAAAATCCTCCCCCGCCCACGCCAACACTGACCTGACACGAGCTCCTGAGTGTTTAGCAGGAGTGGAAAGATGGAGCGTGTGCATAGATGCTGCTAATGAGAAGCGCTAACATGAACACATTTTATTGCCAGAGGGCTGTGCTGTCAGCAGTCAGAGACATTTCCTCAGATTTCTGCAAGGCACCGCATCTGCTTCACAGCTACTGTATTTCAAATTGTGCTAAAGTTGGCCTTAACACCCCCCCACCCCCTCTGCCCCTCTCTGTGCATGTTTTAGATCTATAATGAAATCAGCAAAGTGGTTTGTAACTGAAGGCTGGTGGGCGATGAAAGATAGAGTCTGACACGTTGCTTAAATTCCAGCTTAAATGTGCTGTTGAAAAATGAAAACAGCAGTTACACTTATGGAGGAGACCTTACTTTGTGCTCATTGCGCCATCATTTTAAACAAAATGGCCAGCTTATGTGGAGATGACTCGGCAGTATGTAAATGGAAGCTGAGAAGTCAGAATCAAACGAACGGCTTTAATTCAGACCTGTCTATGTGGAGCTTCTGAGCCAGCAGCTGCCAGTCCTTCCCGTTGGCATTAGCCGTGTCAAAGGTGGCGCTGATCCGCTGACGGATGGATGGGGGGATTTTGAAGGCCTTTGACCCTGTCTGAGAGGTGATGGTGCAGTCGGACTGAGTGAAAAAGGGGGCCACTCCTTTTTCATTCTAGTAGCAAGAGAGAGAAGGAAACAGAGAAAATGAAGGACAAAAGGCTCGTCGAGACAATTTGCAATCTAGAAATAAAAAGCTCCGTGTGAGGCTCATTAAGCAAGCTGTTGAATCAAATCAAGAAATAAGGCGCAGTGTATGCTCACACACCAATCACATCCTATCCCCATCTACGTTAAGTGCCGTGAAGTATTTTCTCCCTTACAGCTTTCTTCATTTTGCTATTGAGTCACAATCAATCACAAAAATCAGATAAAGATAACTATAGTTAATAAGCAATATTTAAGTTATGTAACCTAGATTCTAGTTCAGTCCCATCAGCCACAAAACGGTCTACCTAAGCCTTATCATAAAAGCACAACAGGAAGTGAAGCCATAAAAGAAATGCTGTTAAGCGGCCTAGTCAGAGTCAGTGCTGAACTGAGAAGCTGGTGCATCAAACTAAACCCTCTCACAAACAAAGGAGCAGTTTAATTTAGAAAACTGCATGTATGAGAGCCAATCACCTCCACAACAGATGTGTAGATCTGGAGTATCTGCTCCTCTCCTGTGACCTGCCGCACGCTGATCTTGCAGGAAAGCTGAGACGGGGAGAGGTTATATCGCTCCAAAGAGAAGGCACACTGCAGGGGACTCCGGTTACTGGCCCACACCTGAGAAAAGGAGAACTCCTGTAGAAACAGGGGAGACGGAGGGTGGACAGGATGAGCATGGTGATGACAGGATTAGGCTGGGCAGAAGGAGAACTCATTAAACTCGGCAGGAGACATTTGTTTTTTTCATTCTGGCTTTGCCCCTCTGATGCTTACATGCTTAATTAGGAGTCATCGAGCATCCTTGTTATCCAATCAATGGATAACAAGTCAAAAAGCTTCACCCATCAGAATGAAAGCCAACGGTTAGGATTTTATCCAGTAACTAGAGAAGCTACAATTTATTTTTTGAGAAAAGCCAGGTTTTAAATCAGCAGGTTCTGAATCCTTTCTAAAGAGATAGAATATATAGTACTAAAAATAAACTAACATTATAAAAATATATTTCTACACTTATATACTTAAAATACATTACTTAATTTCACAAAATAAAACAGAACAACTCTAGTATGAGATGACTTAGGTGTCAACATTTCTAAAGTGAAAGTCTGGTTGCTTTTGGTTTAAGCCTTTATTGTGGCTGCAATGGATGAAATTTACACAGTTATCTTATAGTTCATCAACATGATTTTGCTGTATCATATAGACACCAATTAATTAATTTATAATGATCAAAATCAGTCATTGCTCTTTTAATCAGCTCTGGTCTGAATTTAAAAAACACCAGAAGTATTCTACTTAATTATTAAATGCATCAAACCCAACAAATGAAAACATTTTGGTCATAGAACGACAAAAAAATCAACAGGATGTAGTCAAAAACAGATAAAAAAAGGAATAATGTTTTGAACCTGAAACATTTCATTTTCATTCAAATTATTATTTTTTTTACTCCTGTTCAGAATTAGCCTGAAGTGAATAGTGGCAGAATAAACTAGCCTGGTTTGTCACAATCCCAGTCATGTGAATTTTTAATCATGCTGTGCTCATCCATGTGGGAATGTGTAGTTAAGAAGCTATTTTTCTTGTCATTATTTCCTGACTTCTGAATATAAATACACATCATGACCTGAATGTCATGTTCTGTCAGCTTTCCCAATCAGAAGTTGGGTTTTTCATAAATCAAGCTTTGTTTCATGGAATATTTATACCTATTTATACTACGGAATATTGTTTAACTTAAAAACAGGATAATTAAAAAAGTATTTTGGAAAATGTGGATAAAATGAAATAAGATGTTAAATTGTAACACCTTACGAAGAAAAATATGTCGTTTTAGATGTTACTTTTACTTTTAATAGTTTTACAGAACCAAGTCCACAAAAATCAGATCTAGTTAGTGTTGGGCTATCCTCTAAACTCAACATTATTTTACTGAGCTGCATTAGTTTTAGGACTTATTGTCTTATTGGTTCTCTCTTCTCTGCAGTCCTGCTGCTAAGCTTGTAGCTTAATGCCGATCTTTAGATAGGGATCAGTGACGTGATTATAGAATTAGGCTAGAGATCCTTTAACGCTCACAGTTTGCTCTGCATTTCCACCTCAAATGTTGTAGCATTAGAAACCAAAGCCACATCTGCTGAGCATATGCAATCTGAAGCACCCATTTCAGCTTCCATTACTCAGTACCGCATGACCCAGACAGTGTTCCAGCGAGAACAGGTCAAAACGCAGTTGTACAGATGAATCATCTACTCTTCAGAGTCATCAGAAAGGACATCCACTTATAACTGCCTGCTTTAGATGGCAGTCATGTCTGAATTAGGGTCTGCACCCATCTGCTTGGGAGATTTTTCTTTAGAGATCCTTGTTGGTATTCTGAAGGTGCTATGGTGGGCTAACTCTGCTAATAAGATGTCGCTGGTGGGATAAACATCACAGGGCAGAACAGAACATGCAGCATGAAGACCCCTAGGAAGATGACTATGATATATTTCAGTATGTGTGTGTAAGTGTGTGTTATTCTCCATGGTAGTCATAATTAAGTTTGTAATGGTACATGTGTGGGTGAGATAGCTCGCCTCCTACTGCGCCCTAGCTGCTGCCCTTTAGCTTTGATGTGACCAGGCAAGAAAAGGGGAGACTGATGGAAGAGTGAAGCTGCCGATGAAGTTAAGGGAGTAAAGAAAGAGAGGGTGAGACGTTTCTTTTTAAGCACCAGACCACTTCAAAGCTGGGTATATACACTGATTAAGTCATTGCAAACATTCATGCTGCTTCTACCAACCGGCACAGGACAGAAAAGCATCTAACCTGGCAGGTGGTAAAAGGCTTGATGCTCCACAGTAACCGTGGGACGTCCTGGATGGACACCTGGAGGCTGAAAGTGTTTCCCTTAAACAGCATCATTTTAGGTTCTTCAAGGAGCCTTCCACCTCTTCTGCGCTCCCCTACGACTACCTCCTGATAAGAAAAAGAGAATCAAACAGGTTTTTGTCTTTGGGGCACAAACTGAGGGAGACAGAGGGAAATAGAAAGATAAAAGTGTAAACATCCACTTGCAAAAGTTGCCAAAGTTTTTAAACCACTTTAAAATTCCACATTACAACTAAATACTTCAATGTGTTTTATTAAGGGTTTATATGAAAGACAAAGGCAAAGTAGTGGATGTTGTGAAGCAGAAGGAAATTATGCACGCTTTCCATTTATTTTAGAACTATAACAAATGTAGCCCGTGTCGATAAATAGTCTTTTGTACTCTGAAACCCCATAAATCCATCCAGCGTTGCAATTTTCTATCGGAGGTCAGCAAGTGATTCAAAACTTGACTTGTGTCTAACTTCATATCAGTATAAATGTACCACTTTTGTGCAGGTTTTATTAGGAAACATTAGGAGATGTCGATTGTTAAGCTTTGAACACCACAGAGTGGTATCAAAACACAAAGAGTATCGCACAACTGAAAAGCTATCAAGTCATGGCTGCCCACTAAACTGACAGGCGGGGCAAAAAAAAGGCTTTAATCAGAGAAGCAGCCAAGAAGCCCATCGTAACTCTGGACATCCTGCAGAGATCTAAAGCCTCGGTGAACAAATCTGGCCTTTATAGAAGAGAAGCAGGAGAAGCGATATCCATAATAAGTCCTGTTTGCAGTTATATAGTAAAATATATGGGAGATTCCAGAAATCTAAATATAGTTAAAAAATAAATAAAAAATTTATTTTGGAGACTGATCCCTGACTGGAAATAGTGGAAAGAGTTTAAGAGCTGAATCCTTTAGTCTTGACATTAACTGTGTTTACATCAAGTAAAAACTCAAGCTTTTCATGCAAATGTTTTCCTGTCAATCAAAATCCTTTGCTAATGACTAACAAACTTGTTTAGATTTGTTTTAAACAGTAGCTATAGTTAATATAAAAAAAGACAACTCAGCTACCCTTTAGCTACATAAGTATATTTTTGACACTAATGCACCTACCATCAATTTTAACATCTTGATGAACTGAGTGGGTTGAACATTCACCTCTTGACTGAGATACAGCTAGTTATATTTTCTCATAAAAAAAAAAATCTTTTGAAGGAAAGATGCTTGAGATGAAAAATAATGCTTTATTACTCTGAACCGAACAGATGAATCAGGGGTAACCTTATTTCTCATAACAATTAAGGTGGTTCTGTGCTGAAAATCAGATTAACTTTAAATAGCTTGCAAGTAATAAAGGTGAACATGATTATAACAATTAAGCTTGTTATTTAATTTCTTATGGGTGGCTGGGAAAAATAGGCAGAAAGCACGAAAGAGAAAAATAACAATATAAAAAAGTTTAATTATTTCTTTAATTGCACCTATATATGTATGTATGTACATGTGTTTGGATTGTTTAATCATATATATATATATATATATATATATAAAAAAACTTGATAAAAAAATGTCAGAAGCGAACAAAAACATGTAAAAAGTTTTTCACATAACTAAACAATTACATGTGTTAAAACATAAATATAAAGAAACAGGCGAGCAAAAAGTAGCCACTCTCCTTCCTTTCAAAATGGCTGCAGTGAAACAGGTCTACTACATGAAGACATAACCAAATGCCGGCTTAGAGGCAGGTGGATGGAAGCTGAGGCAGTTTGTCTTTAGAAGAGAAAAACAAAGCTTCTTCTATGGCAGACAATCACAAAAAAACAACAAAGACAGAGCGGTTGAGAGTAATTAAAAGCTTCCCAGGATTACAACCAAAGGAGGACACAATAATCTGACAGAGAACAAAGGAGGCCACAGAGAGAGGAGAACAATGGACAAACCTGCAGGTGATGTTAGCAAATTAAGAGCAAAAGGCAAAATTAACTCAAACAAACCCCCAATGCTTCATTTTCTTCTTTTTGAGTTCTATATCAAAATTTCTCAACAGGTAAAAAAGATACCTCAAATAATTTATTTAAATAAAGGCAGCGACTTTCAGTACAGTATGAATAAAGGGTGGTCTACATTAAACTCCTTTACTCTAGAAGAGAGAATCAATACTAAAAGCTGCTTTGGTCATTTATTTAAAATAATGGTTAACTTCTAATAATTAGCACTAGCTGTTTGCTACAAACTTTTTGCTGCATGAGCGATTATAAAAAAAAAAAACTACGTATTAGTGCATAAAATTATCTCCAATAACGTTTCAAACAGCTAATACACCAATATTTCATACCTTTACAGTTACTTAATGCATTTAGTTATTTTCATGCAGCTCTCCAAATGCTTGATTATCAATATGTACCTGACTCAAAGGTATTTGCTAAAATCTGCTCCTGATTAACTGTCAGGTAGTATATTTATATGGATATAATGCTTATTTGGGTTAAACATCATACTGCAGGTGTGGGTTTCCATCCTCTCTGCCCTACTTTTGATTAAGCTGTACTTTAAAGCTTCCTGATGCTTTAACTTCTAAATCTTCTAAGGAATGAAGATGACTCACCTCCCATCCTGTAGGTAGACGCCAGTGCTAAACTAACAGCCCAGCATAATGACATAAAGTCAGCAGAATTTTGGAAGTGATCTGGGAGACTTATTTAACCAGCTAGAAGTGGGCAAAGATGAATTAGACTGAACTAACAATAGACAAACATGGCCATCGCCCATTTTCTAGTAAGTTTTAGGTCAGTAGATCAGAGATAATATAGATAATTTCATTAAACTCCCAGAATCTTTAAGCTATGTAATAAACTCATTGACTTTAAACACAGCTGATAAACCCAAGTTCTCCAACTTTTAAATCATGTCTCTACCTCAACATCTAAATGGAACATTTTGTTATTTAGCAGGACTGTGGATTTTAACAACATGTAGATGAGATATTTTAGCTTTTTGGTTCAAGTGTGTTGGATCGGGGATTCTTCTAAAAGCTGCAGGACACCGCCCCTTAAGGACTGGAGCAGCTGCCTGGCTGAGCCTTTCTGCATGTGGAAAATGTTTGGCAGATAGATCCTCATAACCTCTTCAGAGGTTGACAGCAAGGGCTGAAACCAGATGAGGTATGTGAGATATGTGAGTACTCTATTCAAACTGACATCATCTGACAGGCAGGCTGTCTGTGACATCAAGGTTTAACATCAAATTAAATACTGGTTGTTGTTGTTCCTTTTTTCAGTTAGGGGTTATATTTATGTTTTAGAGAAAGAATATTTAAAGGAAGAATGTCACCCTGATTATTTAGCATTTACTCCACTTGTCTCAACATCTTCACTGATTTAACATGCCTTATTTGCCACAGTCTCAGTCTGTTTATTGATGAATACTTGAACTTATGGTATTCACAACTGTTCGTTTTAACATTTGGATGGTTGATTCTGCCTAAATAGTTAAATAGAATACTATAACTGTAAAAAAAGGGTTGTATATTATTTTGATTTGAACAAATCTGGTTCAGATTTGCATTCCTTGTTTTAATTTAAGTTCCTATCTGCTTGTTCTTCCTGAGCGAGGATGAGGAGAGACCACCTGCCCCCACCCATCCTCACAACCTTCAACAGAAGCACCATAGAGAGCGTTCTGACCAGCTGTTTTACTGTGTGGTGTGGAGGCTGCAGCGCCTCAGACCTGAACAAAGTGAGAAGAGTGGTCAGAACAGCAGAGAGGATCATCAGGGCTCCTCTTCCCTCCATAAAAGACATTTCATCATGGCGCTGCGTGCCCGAGCCTGTAACATTATTAATGACCCCTCACATCCCCACCATGCACTGTTCTCCCTGCTGCCCTCTGGGAAGAGGCTTCACAGCATTCGATGCAGGTCTAGGGATCCTGCAACTGTTGAAAAACAGTTCAGCAACACCAAACTAAAAAACACTGCATATTTGCACCATATACATATATTAATGCTCTAAACTTCCTTTTTTTTTTTTGCACCATGTTTTTTCTCCCACACTATATACATTTGATCACTGCCTCACTTTATGGAATGGAAATGTTCATTTACTGACTGGAAAGCTATAATAAACAAAATTTCCCTTTTTTTTTAATACAATCTGTGTACACAACATGTCAAAAGTCATAGTTCTTGATTCAGTTAATTTAAATTTTCGCAAAATTTTACAAGTTATAAATTAGCTGGATGAAATGGTCTGCATTTCTCAATAAAATGTAATTCCTTGACCATTTTACTTTGTGAGATCTTTAATATAAATGCTATGTGGCAGTGGTGTCTTGTGCAGGAGTTTGCCCTGCAATCATAGGGTTGTCGGTTCGAGCTCTGGCTTTCAATGTCGTTATGTCCTTGGGCAAGACACTTCGCCTGCATTGCCTACTGATGGTGGTCAGAGGGACCGGTGGCGCCAGTGTACGGCAGCCCCGTGTCTGTCAGTGAGCCCCAGAGCAGCTGTGGCTACAATGTAGTTTGTCCCCATCAGTGTATGAGTGTGTGGGTGAATGACTGAATGTAGTGTAAAGAGCTTTAGTCAAGTCTCCTGAGAGCCATTAACCATTTAATTTCAACCAGTATATAGATATCAAACCAATGAACTCTAATATTATTTTATGAATTTTTCAGTTACACTTTAAAATGGAGCTTTATTGTTTAAAATGTAATTAAAACCAATTTAAATATATCCAGTTTCTGATGCTTCAGGTACTTAAGTCACATAAGAGAATAATATTATTTTATTTACCTAAGTCTACCTGTAGTGCAGTTTTAGGCTGAATGTATGAGCTGGAGGAAAAAGCAGCACAGAAGAAAGGCATCCTGACAGTTTTTATGATGAATGATGCGATTTCGTACTCAGTCATTCAGTTAGTGGGTTTTATCATATGAAACGTATTCCGAATCAGAGGTGTCAAAAGTAATAATGTTTATTACTCAAGCAGAAGTATAAATCCTACTGTTTAAAAACACTTTTGTAGAAGTTATAGTATCAAATTAGGCTTTTTACTCAAGTAAAAGTATAAAAATACTATTTTAAAACTACCTAAAGTATAAAAGAAAAAGCAACGCAAGAAAAATGTTAAGGACAGATGCTTTAATTCTCAAACTGGTTACTGCAATACCTTATTAAAGGAATTTTTTCCCCACAAATCTTGATAATAATTTCCTTATCCTTAATTTTCTTAGTTTTAACTGATGATGTCAAATATGACTTTGCATAATCTTTAAAAACTATTTATTTCATTATTTGGCGAACAACAAATTGGTGCAGAAATGAGTCAAACTATAATTGATTTTTTTTCTTTAAATATCAACAGGCCATAACAAAAATGAGCTTAAATGAAACAAAACTGACGAGTCTGTTTTTAAAATGTAAGGAGCAGAAAGTAAAAAGTTGTCTGAAAAATAACTACTCCAGTAAAGTATAGTATCTACTTAAGTAAGGTAATGAATTACTTGTACTTTCTTATTTGACACCTCTGTTTCAAATGAACTAAAACACACATGTATATGCTTTATATGGAACAGTCTGTGTTTTAACACAGAAGGAAAATGGTTCAACAAATTATAACTGAGTAAATAGCTTCAAACAAAAGCAAAAAAAAAAAAAAAAGAAGTTTAACTTTAGTTAATGTCCGTATGATTTTTTCACGCATGGAGAATGAAGCAGTGAAGTGTACTTTTCAATAAATTCTGGGGGAAAAAAGAGGACTATGCTAAATGTGCAGGCTAACTATCGATTTCCAAGCTAACAGGGGAAATTATTGCATTAAGGACAAAGGAAAACAAAATCAGGGAAGCAAAAAAAAAAAAAAAAAAAAAACAAAACAAAGCAAATAACCACGTGTCAGTGATGGAGAAGTAGAGTGAGTTGACTCCCAGCACTTACATCCATTTACTCATTGAGGACTAGCAATTTTTTCACTCAAATGAAGCCAATACTGATGTAGAAAATGAGGAAGCTAGAAAAAACTAACAGGACTTTTTCAAAGGACGACTGCTACACTTCTTTCTGACTTAAAAGAACTGTATCTAGAAAAAGCTCTTTGTGTTTCTTGTGTAGCAGAAGAAGAAGAACTATGTTTTCACATTTCTCCTCTAAAGAATGCAGAGATGAACTGCTGCTCCATGTCAGACTGTGCCTCATTTTAATGTGTTCAAGTTCTTTACACATGGAATTTGTCACGGAAACACATTTAATTAACAGAGAGCAAATTAAACTACGCATATAAAGGGCAGAGAAGCCACCCTGGAGCATCTGTTGTCTTTGTAATTAAAAGTCCTTCTTTGTCTCCTCGTCATCAAGCATCTCCCAGTGGCAATGTTACTAAACAAGTGGATCTTCAATGGAGCGATACACATTTAGGCTGCACTTCTTCTAGCAAGTCACCAGAAACATGGCCGAAACCATCATATCATTAGTCAAACTCACATTGTACATTGCAAATATTTAGAGAAGCTATATGTTCACTCATAGAAGGAATGTGGTGACATGTAAGCAGGTCAATGGGGCTCAGACACAAACCAATACTGGTTGTATTTTCAGGGGTATTTGTGCACATATGTGAAATTCATGGTGCGTTAAGGGCTCCTCTGAGCACAGGCTCAAGGTTAATATTTTTAGCTTGGATAGGAAATGCTTTAATATTTGTATGAAGCAGTGTAATAAAATGTTTTGGGGATTTTATAACTTAACCCTGGAGATACCAACTCTGTTTACATCTGTTTACTGCTCTGTCTGCTAAAGGCTTGTTAACCTTGTAAAGTTATTTTTTTTTATGAATGTTTGATTGCAAGAGTTGAGACTTTATTCTGCAGAGCGTGTTTCATACCTTTAGCTTGTCTTTTTTTTTACTCACCTGCACATAGTTACCACTAAAAGCATCTGCTTTTTATTTAGAGATTTCCTTTTTTTAGCATAAAATACTTCTTGCTTCTTGCTGCTTCTTGTAAGATTTCCATCCTTTCTAGCAAACAAGAAACTATTTTTGTCAAGGCCAGATATAATCTCTTGTTCAGCTCCTTATACTACTGCCACATACTGCATATCCCTCTGCATTTCAGAGATTTAAAACAATATACAGCCTAAGGTAAATCATAGCCCAGCTTTGCCGTTAAGGCAGGCAGCTGCTGCAGATTCTTTGACATTTTTAAATATTTGCAGGATATTTGCTACCTAATTTGCCAAAATATTCCTGTTAATATTTCCTACATCTTTTATATAAAGAGCTTTATTTCTAAAAGAAAATAGGACAATATTCTCTTAAAACACAATAACATGCACAAGTGATATCAATTGGCATCATTAGTAGAAAAAAAAAATCCCTTTACCTAAAAAAAAGAAATACTGCATTAAAATTATTCATAACCTCTTCAATGATCAAAGGAAAAACACTTCCTGGATTCAGCTTTTAAAAACCCTTTTTAAGTGCTGAGCAGCTTTTGGCATGATTTCTCTGGTATTTAATATTTGTTTTGGGTCATGATTTCCAAATTGGTTCTGGGGCAAATCCAGAACTTTCTGGAGGGACAGTATGTTTCTTCAGGCCTTGGAAGAACTCATATTTCTCTAGAATAAGCTGGATGGTGTCACCAGGAATATGGGTCTATAAGTTTTAATCTTTAAACCTGTTATTACTGTGTGTGAGGTTGCAGAGACAGTTTTGGCTGTATGCAAACAAATATTTGTATTTGCTATGTCATGTTAATGACCATGTATACCTTCTTCATTGCTGTAAACTAAATTAATGAAGTCAAAGTCTAATGCTCTTAGGGCCTGATCTTCAGAGGCTTTGCTTGTCTTAAAACTGGTGCAAATGTGACTGTATGTCCAAAGCAGATCTTCAAAGAACATAAAAAGTGATTTGCGGTTGCAGTTCAACAGACAGCGTATGAAAATCTTTTTTGTGTGTTTACTTTCATTAATATGCAAGATCGCATTCTAATAGCCAAACGGCAAAGCCATGTGCAAAGCCATTATCCAAATCAGAAATTAATTTTTGGTCGCAGTTTTTGCATGTTTTATCAGTCATTCAGGAAGTGAGGAGCAAACTGATATGCAAAAATATCTGCAGTGATTGTTGCATTAATACAAATCTAGCGGATTCAGAGATATTTGGTACATGTGCAAAAATAATTTTGACAATAGTAGACTAACATTGACAAAGAAATAAAATCTACGCAGAAGCTGGCAGAAACAAATGCAGCAGGTTGGTAGACAGTAAACAATTAAACCAAATCTGAAAACAATGACTGAACTTTAAAATAGTTGTTGCCTGTTTATAAAAGAAATAGAATATTAAAAGAGTCTGCAAAGAGACATGAGTGTGTGTGTGGAAGGCCGACTCTTTTCAATAGAACACGTAATCTGCTTATTTTAATGGGCAGAACCAAATTGGTTTGCACGTCTTAAAATTTACGCAACAATATTTATAGGTCACCCGCAACACGCTCGCTTATTGCACATGTAAAAAAAATATGCATGCATTTAGCATTTAGCGCCTCTAATTTGTAATCTTTGAGGAACAGGCCGTACTATGGTGTTGTTTTGCAAGCCCTATAACAGGCAGGGAGCGTTTCCAGCTGAGTTTGTAGGTATAACAGAGAGGAGCAGAGAAAATTAGCCCAGCCTAAAACATTTCTTCACCTTTAGCATTTTCTTACAACCATCCAACAGGTAAGCATAGGTTCAATAACAGGGTAAGTGCTTTTTATTGACGTTAATGATGATTATGTCGGGTGATGAGCTGAAAAAGGTTAAAAGTATCAATACGGCACACCAACTCTGCAGTCTTTAGTGATCGCATTTAAAATTTAAGCTCAATCTTACTTTCTGAAGATAAAAGCAGAAGAATATAATACGATTGGCTTTATGATGAATTCAGCCAAATTCTAACACAGTTATGAGACCACAGAAAGCAGGAGATAATTTAACAGCTGTAAATAAGCTGCTAAAGCCAGGTTACACATCTGCTGTGATGATTGCTAATTGGTGTGTGAATCATTCATATTGGAGTTTGGGTTTACTTTAAGAAAAAAATGGGTGATGACCTTTGAAAATCAATTCATTAGTTTTAACCTGAGCACACCTTATAATATGAAGGGAAAAAAAGCAAAAAAAGCCTTTTTTAATATATATAAAAAAAGCCCGTTCTTTACAAAAAAAACAAGATGGATAAGTTCCAAGCAGAAATTTACTGATCTGTTAAAGTTGGATTTGTCTTTTGTTTAACTTATTTATTTGCTGACTATGTCAAATTGTAGAAAATCTGAAACAAATTCTATATTCTTAACAAATATGTATGTAAATCAGTACTGGATTAGTATAGTGGTATATATTATATTTCTTCCCTGATACCTGAAAAGCATAGGGAGTGTCGTCCACGCAGTACACCCTGAGACAGAAACCCAGGGAGTTACTTGGATCTGGACTGCCAAAGACGGCAAGCCTGAGTCGCTTGGCTGCCTCCTGGTTCAGCGCCTCCCCCATCAGAGCGTAACGACCCGGCTGCTCCAACAGCAAGTGGCACCTCTGGGCCTCGAGCAGACAGTAGCAGGATGTGCTCTCCTCATCCACCGACATCACTTCCTATGGATGTAGAGAAACAGAAGAGATAACTTGGTACAGCTGCATAACAGAAATAATGTTTTAAAGTTAACACTTCCTTTCTATATGAAGTTTAAGTTAATAGAACATATTTTTACAAATATTTTTGTAATTTATGTATTTTTATATATAGTAACATTAGAAACCCCAATCTTGAAAGAGTAATTTTATGATTGAATGACACAAAGTAGCCTATAACTGCAACATTTACATAAAAATATATCAAACTTGTCTTGAAATTATTTGCAGATAAATATCTGGGGAAATAAAATTATCTAGTATTTGTGTTCAGACTTGGACTTTTAGGCAAAAGCAGAAATATTTGTATGTTGCAGAAAGCTAACAATCTGAACACATTATCTCTTTATGAGGCAAAGTGGTGGCAGCATCTTAATGCGGGACAATCCCTAGCGGGTTCTCTCTAAAAAGACTTAAAATTACTCTTTTAATAGAGCTGTGTTTCATTTCTTTTTTTTTTTTTTTTTAGCTTTATTGCTTTAAAAAAGATTAACAGGGAAATAGTATTACAAAGAGGAACAGGGAAAAAACTAAGAGAAAAAATAAACAAACAAACAGAATATAAATAATAATAATTAGGTCTAATCTGTCAGAAAACAGCAGTACTGTAAAGGATACAGCACATATCTTATCTGGGTCTGTACTCTAAAAGAGGATATTTTAGATTTAGAAAAAGCTATAATAATAATAATAATGGTAGTAATAATAATAATAATAAAAATAATTATTATACATGGTTATAGTATTTGTATAAGAGTCCTTAGCAAGATATTCAGTAGAGCTGTGTTTTTTTAAGATCACCAATCCTTTAACTTATAATTAGGGTCAGATACATAGGAGGTCACATACTTTAGTTTCAAAGTTGACCAAAAACACGTCTTTCAGAGGAAAATGTTTTTAAATTCAACAAAAAATAAAAAATATTCAGGCTTGTGTAATTGCCAGCCATAACAGTTTACACCTATATTCCTTTTATTGTAAGGGACATTAAAAGAATTTCAGATGTGGAAACTAGTTCTACAAATGATTGACCATGGAAGGCTGCATATATACATGTATGTCTATGGAGTAGAGTTAAGCTTTTAATAGAAAACTTTCCTTTTATTATGCTTCTTACCAGTTGACTTGTGTTGCTCTTTGCATACATATCCAGCAAAATACATCGAGGATTGTAGTTGTAACATGTAAATACTCTTGCAAGCCATATTGTTTCCATCAGTATATTTTCTGACAGTATATTCTACAGTCTTTGTTGTAAACCACGTTTATAATTCCATAATCATTGGTGTAATTTGCAGATCACACCCTATAAACCTCCCAGGAAACCTTGGATCAGGAGCTGTACAAAGCTAAAAAAAAAAAGAGGCCAAATGAATAATGACACATCTCTCTAAACAGATGGGGAGCTGGTAACACTGACAAAACGGATTAGCAGGGGGCAGCTGTATCTAATGGCCAATTGCTCCTCATCGTGTGCTAAATTCTCCCTGAATCACCTCTTAACATACCTGCGACCCAGCAGCCCCCTCCGCATATGGCCTGACTGTGCCATATAAAGCAAAGGAGAGTAATTTGGTGGCCTACAGCTTTTTCACCCAGGCCCCATTAGTGATGCAGCATACATGACGGATATCTATGATATAGCTCATCCCCACCAGGCGGCTGGGGGAGAAATGATAGACTCAAAAAAGTGGAAAGAAGCGAAAGCTTAAATGGGAATGGCGCTTAGAGGCAGACAGGGTGAAAGAGAAGAGTGAGGGCAAAGGAAAGAGAGGACAGAGTGGGAAAGAGACCTTCATCTCTCATTATATCGCTAATTTAGAGATTAGGATTTGACTGAGCACCGTTCCTGAGATAAAGGGCTCATTAATTCTCTGTGACAGAGATGGGCCACAGCATTACATTTGGAGAATATATACCCTGTCTTAACCTCCATCTTCCTGTCTGTGTCACACCTCTCCCTATTCTATGTCAGCCTATAGCTCCCATCAGAGATGGCTATTTTGATAGCTTCCTTTTGTGCAACACATCTTCAGGAAAATTACATCTGTGCAAATGTCACACAGAGTGAAAGGACAGGTAAGAAAAGTCACAGCCCCCCCACACACACAGTTCAGGGAAAAACTGTCTGTTAGGTTGCTGTGACCTGATGAGGTCTCTAAAGGCTTTTGATGAGGTTACTTAAACATTAAAAGAGCACCTCACATACAGAGAAAGCATGAGTAGAAGAATAGCGGCCGTATAGAATGAAAGCAGGTGTCTAAGTGCTCCTTTACTCTATAGGGCAGAGTTGAAGGACTTTTTTTAGAGCTGTTATTTTATTAAGAGCTAGATGTGAGAAGAAAGTCACACAGGCAATCACTGAAATAACACTCTAATGCATTTAGAGGAGTGAGGTCCTGCATCTTTTAAAAGGTGCACTTGGCCGTTTTTCTCCATTTTTGGCTGCAAGCGGACAGCTAATAGATAAAAATGTGATTTAGTGTTTTAGATGTTTAATTCTGTTGGCAAATTTAATTTGAACCCCGTCTTATAATTCATCAATCCATCAAGGTTGGAATTAACATTGTAACCAACATACAAAGTATAAATTTATATTTTCATACATATTGTTTATCATTTGATTAAAAAAATGCAAAAACATTTCTTTTTTTGCATTGGTTACTTACTAATTGAAGAATGATTACACTGGAGCAGTGAAATTCATTTCAGGTTCACAAGTAAGGATGCATTTTTTTCCATTTGTTGTTCTTAACTAGGGCTGCAACTAACGATTATTTTGCAAACTGATTAATCTGTTGATTCTTTTTTGGATTAATCAATTAATAATCAGATAGCCAAATGTTCCTTAAGAAGACTTTTTCCAAATTTAAACCAGGTGAAAAACAAACTTTTCCACTTGAGGTTTTCTGGATGGAGCATAATGACAGCTACATTTTTTTTTTTATCTTAAATGCTAAATATTTATAGATTTTTTTCTTAATCTTGTTATAATTACTGCTCTTAGTGGGTTGCTCTGTCAGCTAAAGGCATGATTACTCAATTAGTTGATGATTATTTCAATAATCGTTTAATCCCGATTAATCCGTAATTGTTTGAGCCCTATTCTTAAGTAAAAGCTATCAATACTATCTGATTTGAAAATAATTTTGAATGTTAATAGTTTTATTTAAAGACTCAAAAACAATATCCAATCCAAACCACTTTATTTATATAGCACCTTCCAATGTGCTTGACATAAAAAACAAAAAAAAAAAAAAAAACAATACACACACAAAAAAAGCAGGAAGAGCTTAAAATGAATAAATAAAAGGACACAGACACAGTTATGCAGTGTGAAAAGCCAAAGAGTAAAAGTGGGTCTTGAGACGAGACTTAACACTCTCCACTGAGGAGATTTTAAAATCTGGCCAAACTGAAATATCTTTTGTAGTTTTATACACAACAATTTTTAGTATTGAAATGAAATCAAATAAAAAAAAAAATCATCAGTTGTGTATTTTGAGAAGTTAAAAAGGGTCGACTCACCTCCCACCTGTCCTGGATTTGTCTCTTTAACCTGATGTTCCAGTTATCAGCAGCGACCTCGGCACAATGTGCTATGGTCATGGCTATTGGGCAGGACAGGTCGAGGCCTGGAGGACCATAGGTGACTGCAGGACTCAGAAAGATCTCTGCCCCATCCTCCGGCATAGTGCTGTGCACAAAGAAAATACAACACTTTTATAGTTTTTTCAAGAAATTCATTGCTTTTGTTTGAAAAAAAAAACTCCCAAATTCCTTCTACAGATTGGGAGTTTCAAAATTAGCATACCGTATATTTTAGGTTGAAGAGAAAATTTTTACCCTTTGATTTTACAAATAAGAAGCTAAAAAAGTGTGTATTTAGATCCCTTCAGTCTTATAACTCTGAATCAAAGGGAGTCCTTGATCATGAGCAATCTGACAGGTGAACAGTCCACACATTAGTCTTTTCATGGTGATGTAAATAGAGCTGTGATCTTAAGATGCCAGATGCTTGTTAAGAAACGGCACTAAACAAGGAGTCAATAAGAAGAAAGAGTAGAAAAAACAGGTTAAAGCTAGAGGATATAAACAATTGCAGCTACACATCTTTCAACATGTGCTCATTCACCTGATGATATGCAAGGAGAGTTCATTAGCAGTAAGGAGGCCAAAGGTAACTGTAAAGGAGCTGAAGCAACTTAAACCGATGTGAAATATGTAAGAAGGTGCTTTTGTCAAATGTCAACAAAAGGTTTAATATCTGAGAGTCCGGATGGTGTCCTGGAAGTACAGTAGGTATTCCCCTGCCTTTACCGCATAAAAATGAGTAGAAATCAACAGCTCCAAAAAAAAAGAGAACTTTTGGTTTCAACCCTGAACTCAAAGTAAGCTACATCATAGAAGGAGGATAAAATTTTCTCACTTGAATGAATCTCTCACTTTTATTTTAGACATCTCCCAGTTTATCATTGGCAATGTTAACACTTTTCACAGATCATATTATACATTTACAGCAGCTGACAAAACTGCTTCATAATTCAGTCAAAATGAACAGTTAATCTGTGTAAACATCAAAACAAAAAACAATGAACAAATAAAGCAGAAAAATACCACTAAGAGCTATAACATCTTTCTGAGCCTCATTTCAGCTTTAATCAAAGTCTTGTGCAAAAAAAAATGGTTCATATGCTTCATAGGACCTCTAAAAAGACACACGGTGTGTGAATTTGTTGGTTATGTATTTATTGGTTACTGTCGTAAATATTTAAGGCATTACAATACTTAAAAAAAAGAGGTTTGGGACACATGAATCACCTTGTCATCGTCTTTAATAAATAAATAATAATATAGCCTGTCCTCCACTAGACCTAATGCTAATGTTAATTTCATTTATTATTTTTTTTGTCTGCAAACACAATCTAAAACCAGCAATGTTAAGCAGAATTTGTAATGTTTTGCAATGTTTGTGTTCAGATCTTTAAAGGATCACAGCAGGATGCCAGGATGGTTGATAATGCAGCAAGGTAAGGTTTGAACAGAGCAGAAGTGACATGTTTGATCATAACTGTTAGTGAAGCAGTCTTGCAGGCTTTACTTAATAAAGGTGTGTGGATATGAACCGGTTTTAGTGAAGTTTTAGCTTTTAATGAAAATGAAATTGTCATAAATTATGTCTTCAGATCGTCAAATGTAATTCTCCTTTTTTCTGCTTCTTCTGGGTGTTCTGATCAACAGAGAAAATTAAAATTCAACTCTATGGAGTGGCCAAAGAGTAGATACATAGTAGCAGCAGCAACAAATTATATAAATTATTTTATGAAGGATGGATTTGATTAAAGATTTATTAACGGTTAAAAAAATCCTATGAATTATGAAAACATTTAATCTCCATTTGGAATCCATTTTTTTTTTTTTATTAAATTGACGGTTGCTCTACAATGGGATGTGATTTCAGACAGTGGCAGCCATATGAGGCAGGACCTCTGTTATGATGCCACATCTGCAGGGAAGCATCACTAATCATTACTGGGTACACTCAGGGTAAAGTTTATGGTGTCTTGAAGTGAAGAAGCTACCTTTAGCATAAGGCATTAATGAAAAAACACCATCAGCCAAACAAGACCTATGTTAAGCAGGTGGACAGTTTGGTACCATGCATACATACATTTTTATTACTTCTTTGTGCATATTAAATTTGTTATACAAACTTCCTGTTAAGCACCTCTTTTGAATCTGAAACAAAATAAAAACTCCCAGCCTTAAACATTACACCAGTTTAAAAAAAAAAGGAAAATATTATTGTTAGGCGATATACCCTGATTTGTCTCAGCTTTTAAAGCACAATACCTATATGACATTAAAACTTCATATAAATATAGCTTCAGTGTGTTACTTGCAAAATAATAAGTATGAAAGGGCATACTAAAGTCAAACTAAAGACTGCAAGGGTGTGAAATTTTGGTATGACACCTGTGATCTAAAAACAGATCTCAGCGATAAAGTTCAATTTAACTATAGAGATTATGCTGCAGATTAGACCAAAATTCAGCAACCATTAAACTATTCTTTTCATTAATTGTTCTTTTTTTATTCAGACTTTTAATAATAATGCACTCTATGCTCTGTAGTCTTAATAGTGTGTAACTATAACCTTTTTTCTAATGTAAGTATACTGCATTTGGATTTGTTATTGGTTAATGCCCAGTCATCACCTAAATACTGCGGGGAATTTGTGGTTACCTTGACAACCCTTTTTCATAGACATTCTCGCCAACTCCAGAGTTGAGGTATTTAGAAAAGGAATGGGGAAAAAACTTTCAGTATTATAGAAATATTCTATCAATGTAATTAAAACAAATCCATGCCACAGTTTTCATACCATTTATTTGTTAACATTTTTAAAAATTGGGTATAATATTCCTCCGACTTAACAGTAAACTGCTACTGTAGTTTGTTCAGGCCTATTACCTAAGCCCCATAAAAAAACACTAAAGTTTGTTGTGGTACCATAAAAAAATGTAAACCAGTATCATTAAATACTTCTGCAAGGCTCTGTACATCTTTACCAATTGGTCCCTCTGTAATTAGGATTCAGAGTGTAGCACTTACACATGAACACCATAAACTCAAATCCTTCGACACCCATAATGAATCAATCCCTGACTAGCTGACACGGAGACACACAGATAGAGGAAGATTAAAGCACCAAGACTAATGGACAGTGAGGGTGGGGAGGACAGGCTTTAGACCAGAGTGTGTAAGCTTTGTGGGTCGATGGAGCTTATGAAGGCTGCTCCGGCCAGCCTGGTGACAGATTAGCCGGGCCAAGCTGCTCTTGGCCAGGGGCCCAAACTTGGCTGGAAGCCCTAAAGACTGAGAGCAATCGATGGGACCACCATCAGTCATGCAGCTGGCCTGGCTGGATACCTCACATACACAGGGCACAATGCTGGTGCTGTTGTCACTGCAGCAGCATGGATGTTTCTCAGCATCATTAATAAAACTGTGGCGGGAACAGACCCTAACATGAGTGCAGAGATGCATCATGCATGTGTAGAGTGCGTGTTAAATCATACAAGCAAACAGAAGCACCAGCATAGGGGCGTTCAGAGGGCAGTTTTATGGCACTGACAAATGTACCCTGAACCTTACATATTACTAAAATTGGGGTTCTCTACTTATTCTTATCTAAACAATTACACCTAAAACATGATTCTGCATTTGTTTTGAATTTTAACATCACTGGAACAATCACAGTTATAAGTAATGTTCTGCTCTTATCATTTTTTTCAGCTTTTTATTGTCATTACACTGTCAACAAGTACAGAGCAACTAACTTTAGTAAAAACTTTACTTTAGTAAAAGTAAAACAAAGTTGTTGGAGAAATTACCCAAGTAGGGAAAATAAATTAATAAAAATAAAAATTTGATTAAAAAAGGCTACTCAAGTACCATGTATTTGCTCATAGTACTGCCTCCCACTTTTCAGAAACATAGACCAGTATCAAGTATTGCAGACTAACAAAGACCTCCGTTGACTCCCCATTCCTACGGAGCTAACCTCTTTTTTCGGTTCAATTTGCATGTTTTCTAAGCCAAAACAAGGCTTTGTTGGGCTACTCTATAAACTTTTGAACTCAATGCTAATTCTGACATTTTGAATTGAAAAAGCTGGATGGAAGGCGAAACATCTTCAAACTAGGAAAACAAAGGCATAGTACTGCTTCATAACTTCTGATTTATTGTTTGGAAATGATGCAGTCTGACATATATTACCTAAAAGTTGTACTTTAAAAACTAAAGTGAATAAAAACACTAATGCAAAATGCTTTAAGTGGCAACAACTAACTTAGAGCCTGTTTTAATTTTAGATTTATTTTACCATATAGTTATTTGACACTCTGAAGGAGCTCATAAACTTTGCAGGGAAGGAATACATTTTTATCCTAGAAAACCCATTCTTACTGAACAGGAAAAAATAAAATTTGACCTAAATTATACAGTTAATATAATACCAGGACAGAAAATGTTGTTTAATACCCTACATGTCATTAGAACAGACTATAAAAGCATGAACAAATCAACATTCCTCAATGTTCAGGGAAGTTTCAGGAACGATAAAAAACAATCCTACTTCATGTTTATATTGAATTTCCATTAATTCTTTATACATCCAAATTAAGCAAATGGCAAATAAGATTATCTCGGGAAGGAGCTACAACCTTTTAGAAAAAGTAAGTCCGCATTGGTTCCAGTTAAATAAAACCTCCAAACACGTATAGTTTTTTGTATTCTGGGTGGGCCACTGATGCGGTCATATTTTTTCAACATTCTTCCATTAGGTTGTAAACTGTAAAATACTAAATGGTTTCTATATTTTTTTTCTGCTTCACCAGCTTTCATTATCGTCTGTTTGGATGCACTGTTTAAGCTCCAGCCTCTTTAAACCATGTAAAATGAAGGAATATCAAAATGAATCCTCCATCTTTCAAGCACAGATGGAGGATTCTTGCGGTTAGGTATTGATAGGTAGCTTTTCATATTATTTTCACTCATTTTGCATTTCAAGATGTAACAGTTCTCCAGGCAGTTTTGCAGACTTCCAATCCTGCAGGCAGGGCCTGCAGAATGAATAACCTGTTTGTGAGAGGACTTTCCAACCACTGTTGATTCATAGAGCTGTGAGAAGTG